GATGCCAGCACAGCCTTTCCCCATATGCCTGTAGCCAGACTGCATTTGTACCAGCTATCCCAGTCCTTTTCCTTGTCCCACTGCCCTCACACTGAGCCAAGTTTCTCCCTTTATCCCCATTTCCTGAAATCAGGCTCCTACCCACTATCTGCACCAGTCCTTCAGGAGCTGATGGGCCCCTGACTCCCAGTCCTGCTTCTCCAGCACAACTTTTTACCCTGGCATCCCACCCAGCAGCTCCCTCCCAGACATGACAGAACTCCCACCACAGGCTGGGAACAAAGTCTGAATGTCCTGACTTAGCCTCTCCAAACCCTTCCCGTGACCCCAGTTATGAAGTGAGCAGTTTTCTGGGAAGGGGAGCCCCAGACAGGTATTGCCCCATAGCCAACGAGGCCTCTGGTGCTGAGGCTGCAGGAGGGAGCCCTGACTGTAGTCAGAGCTCTCCCATCACTCCACATGGCTCCAGCACCAGCCACAACTGTCCATTCATCAACCACTGAACAAATGGAAATTTAAGGGCTCATGGCTCTATAACACAGAAAACAATTCCCTGTGCATTTTTACGATGCTGTAATTTATTGGATCAGAAATGATGAATGGCAGCAGGAGGGGGCAGGCTCTGCACACAGGGGAGCGCTGAAGCGCTGGAAACCAGAGAGAGAGGGATAGCTGAGGGCAGGGAATGGGAAAACCCCCAGGACTGCTGCTGCACGGGGCTGGGGGAACACCACCACCTGCAAAGACTGAATTCCTCCCACGCCTTGCAACCCCACCATTCAGGGCAGGATTTGCAGCAGAGGCTTCTGTAAGAAACATGCACAGGAGGAAGAACAGAGCTGGGCTCTGTGCTCCCGAGAGGCACAGCCCCACGCCTCCCGGGCAGCCTTTGCTGGCAGCTTTGCAGATTCAAGGCACAAGCAAGAAACGGGAAAAGCTTCATCCCTGGGGAAAGAGGAGCACCTGGTGGAAAAACAGAGCGTAAACGTGAGCACTACAGCTCCTCCCCCCTGTAATCGCCCAGCTCTGGAGTCTGAGCTGCATTCAGCAGTAATTGAAACCAGGCTCTTTAACACAGGTGCCAATTACTACCTGTTAATGCAAGGAGCACTGATAGATACAGCAATTACACAGCTCTGCAAGGCTGGAGTGCACAAAATGAGATGGAAGGGGCTCCTTATGCCACTGTAGGTGTTGTTGGACAGCTCTCTGCCCCAGCAAACCTCTTGCAGTGTTAGACTGGGCAGGTTCTTGCCCTCTAGCTGCACACCTGCACCTGAGTGAAGAGCGTGCCCTTGCCACAAAAGAGGGAAGGATACCCTGGGCTGCCCCAGGTAAAGAACTGCCAGCAGGTCAAGGGAGGGGATTCCTGCCTTTAGGTAGCACTGCTGAGGCCACTATCTGGAGTGCTGTGCCCAGAGCTGGGCTCATCACTACAAGGCACATGGACATGCTGGAGTCCACCAAGGAGCCATGAAGACTATGAAGGGCTTGGGAGCACTTCACATCTGCGGAAAGACTGACAGAGCTGGAGCTGCTGAGCATGGAGAAGGCCCAGGGGGAAATCTGTCAATGTCAATAAATACCTGATGAGAGGGTGGAAAGAGGATGAAGCCGGGTTTTGTTCAGTGGTGCCCAGAGACAGACACAAACTGAAACAGGAGGGTCCCCCTGAACACCAGGAGCCACTTTTTCCCTGAGGATGGCTGAACAATGGCACAGGGTGCTCAGAAAAGTTGTGGAGTCACCATCCCTGGAGATATTCAAAGCCATCAGGACACATTCCTGGGCAGCAGCTCTGGCTGACTGCTTCAGCAAGGGCTAGGGCAAGATGACCTCCCATGTCCCTTCCAACCTGAGCCATGCTGTGCTGGTGATCTCCAACCATTCATATTCTTTGTCTTCTGCCATTTCTAAACTTCTCTTGCCCAGCTGCCTTTCCCCCACCTCTGTGCTCAAAGCCTCCCCCATTCTTTGCCTTCCTGGGGGTGATGTGGCAGTGAGGAAGGGGCTGATGCAGGTGTACTGTGGCAATGATGGCAAGAGGACAATACAAAGTGCAATTCCCAGAAAAACCCTGCAGAGATCCAAGGCTGTGAACATCAAAATCTGCATACCCCAGCAAGGAGAAAAACCAAGAGAGCCTCAGTGCTGCAGCAGGGGTATCAGAGTCAGAGGCAGTTATTTACCACTGCAGAGACTGCAGAAGAATGTGAGTCCTTTAAAGCCCCAGGCTGGCAGCAACCTGCATTCCTCCCATCTACACCCTGAGCTCCCCCTTCCCCACCTCACAAGCACCAACCACAAACCATGTAATTAATCCTACAGAGATGTTCAGCTGAAATGAGAAACGAAGCACATCCTGAGGCATCCCTACTGCTGGCACCAGGCCCCATGTTGCTGCTCTGCCTTGCTACTCCTGTGTGTTTTGGAGACAGGACTGCTTCCCCACAGCAAACCCACTGGTGTTACACACCTTGTTTGCTGGGCAGAGGACCAGAGGAGTGCAGGGGGTCTGCAGGGACACTTTCTCCTTGCCCTCAGGATGTTTACAGTATTGAAATTTTAGCAGGAATCCAAGCATCTGTTCTTCAAATAAAGAGGTCTCCCAGGGGGATGTGTGGGGAGGCAGAATCATCACACATGTAAACACCTGGTCTTACAGGCAGGAACAGAGTTTGAGGAAGGAGTGCAGCACTTCTGAGACTCATTCAGCTTTGCTTCCGCTGCTTAATGAGTTCAAACACCATCAATATTCAATGGCAGCCCTCCCTTGCCAGGCTGGCTGTGCTGGTGAGGGGCTGGCACAGACAGGGCAGCACAAACACAGCCCTGAGCCCTCCCCACAAAAGGCTCATCCTCCTGTGCTGCTGCAGCACACGTGTCCCTGGCACTGCCCTGCTCCAGAGCGCTTCCAGGACATTCAGCCTTCACACACACACTTCCTCTGAGGAAAGGGACAGAGCCAAACTGTGCCACACAATGTTTGTCTGTACTGAAAGCTACTTCCCCTGTCCCCTAAAGTGACCCCTGGCTTGGGGCTTGTCAGAAAATGGTCTGCACAGTGAGCTGCAGCACTCCTCTCAGCCAGCCACAGGGACCACACTGTGGCACCAAGAGACCTCTGAAAGGCAGGGGACAAGGTTCTGTGCCTGCACACACAGCTGGGGGATCCCAGGGTTTCCCATCCCAAGCCCACTGCATCAATCCAAGCCTCAAACAGCTTCAGTAGCACTAGGAGGCCTTGACTACCTCTGGCCAAGGCACTGCAAAGCCACCCAGGATTATTTCCAGAGGCAAACAGGATCTACTGGTACTCCCAGCTTCCAACACCATCGTGTCCATACCTCCATCCTCCCTCCTCAGCAGACTCCAATCTTCTCCATGCCTACAGTCTGTACTTCAACACTCACTACAGGATTGTGCATTCTCCTTTATTTTGTGCCATTGCTGCAGCACTCCTGGCTCCCTCCTCCAAGTCCTTCATCTTTGTGTCTTTTTTTATTTCCAGCATTTTCACTGCACAGTAGGATTTTTTCCTTGTATGAGAGGGTGGGCAAAGGTTTTTTCTCCTTTCTTTAAATCTTAGTGCCCATTCAAGCACGATGGACAGTGTTCAGCAGAGCTGTGGTGCTGCTTTAACACTCTGCTGCACTGCCCTACACCAGCACAGTGCCACCCCACCCCTCCCAAGCTTGCCCACAACTCTGCCATGTTCCAGGAGCTCCAAGACAGAGCTGGAGTTCGAGGGCAGCACCTCTGTCTTAAAAAGGAAACAAGGCTGGTAGCAACAGACTACATGGTTCTACAGGACACAAACACAATTGGATTTCATCTTCAAGCACCATATCTGGTGCAAATTCTGGCCTTTACCAGAATTTAGAATGAAATTGCCTTTACCTAGGATTTACAGGGACATGCAGTCTCATTCTGGGAGTTACACAGCAAAGGATTCCCAAGGTTCAGTCGTAGGAGAGTGGAAAGTGCAATGAAGGAGCAGCTGTGATACTGTGGAGCACAGCTCATGTGCAGGAAGTGTCACTGCCCCACATCAAGCACAGAGTATTTGGGCTTGGAGCTCACAGCTTTGGCAGGGCAAACAGGGTGAATCCTGCTGGAAGCATCCCAAGTCCCAGTTACTGGAAAGTACAGCTAGGGCCAGAGCAAGTCACACTCAGCTCCAGACATTGTACTTGATGCACAAAATCCCTTGGTCTGCCAGCCTGGTGTGGACGTGCTGGTTCAGCAGCTTTACATGAGGAAGCTGCACCACCTGCTGTCTGCTGTGAAGCCAGTTACCAGAACGTGATCAAAGATGATCACTAATAACTAAAGTTTTTACCAGGACATGCTCTTGATTAAAGTCATCAAGAAAGACTTAATATCTGAAAACTAAGAAGCAAGATCAACAGAGGGACTGTTTAGTCAAAATGGCTCAAGCTCTCAAAGAGAATATGAGAAGTTCACTTTAATATCCAGCTCCTGCCAGGAGAAAGACTGTACTGTTATCCCTTTGGGAAACTCTGTCAAGTTATTTCTAGTCTAAAAACTACAAAAGCTAGCACTGAACAAAACTTTGAAAGATGTGGAAATTCTGCCACACAAAAAACCAGCCACCTGCCCAACACCACTTGAGGCTTAGCAGCAGTGAAAATGACATCTTCAATCCTGCTATTCCCCCTTCCTGGACTGCAGCACTACCTGATCCAATCAAATGGGGCAAAGAGATAAGTCTTACAAAAAGCCACAATGCTAAAAGTCTTCTTAGGATATGGTGCATTAAGGCAGAGCAGTCAGTACGTTCTCTTGGCTGGCATAAATATGAGAGGCTGCAGAACATCTCCCTAATTCTAGAGATGCATGATAGCTGGGCAAGTGTTTTGTGTGCCAGGCCTTATGGGCATGCAGCAAGGTCAGTGGAGGACTGAAAGGAAAGGAGCTGAGAAGACAAATGAGCTCTGCTTGATGAAGCATAGGTACAGAATGTACAGACAAAAGCAAATCAGAAAAAGTTTATTTAAAAAACAGAAAAATCCCCCGCTCAAAACCCCACATACTTTCTGATAAGCTTATTGCTCAAGTTAGATCTCCCATGACACTGCTCATTCTCCTCTTGGCCTGTAGCACCAGAAGTACTCTTGCATCCCTGTCTTCCCTCCAGCCAACATCATCTGGAAATGTTGATCATTTTCAACTGGTCCCAAACACCAGCACTGATTCTTTCCTCACTATGCACACAGAACGTGGAGGTCCCCAGGCACAAAAGATCCTTCTTTCTGGGGCAACTCCAGGGATTTATTCAGTCATGTGATCCCACCAGGATGGGAGTTCCTAATTTGCAGAAACATTAAAAAAAAAAAGGGAAGGTGTATCTACCTTCTCCTTTGAAATCAAAACCTAAACAGCAGTAAAGTCATCCCTGAACCACTCAGCCTGCAGTCCAGACATGTCCACGTTCATTCTACAGCTCATGGTCTACATTCTCAGTAAACAGCCTTCAGGATCCCCTAATGGACTTTTTACAGTGTTTCTCTGTCTCACCTCACCTTTCCACACCCACTGAACCAGGGCTTCCGAGTTCCTGTGAAAGGCACATTGCCTTTTCTTGTGCAGCATCTACAGATCCACACTGCAGGAAAACAGCAGAACTCTCTCCCCGGGCTCTGGCTCTGCTGTGGGTGGTCACAGAGACTTCTGGACCTTCCTCCTGGATAGCTGTCAGGCAGGTTTGGTAAGAACAGAGCAGGTGGCTTTGTGCTTCATGTTCAGTCAGTGCTGTTGTGGGGTTTCAACAAGCTCTTCCTCTTCCTCACCCTGTTCGGGGTGGCGCAGCAGCAGCTGCAGGTCAGGGTCAGAGCTGGCCTCTTTGTGTGGCTCCAGTGCTTTGTCACCTGCATGCAGACAGCCCGTTTAGTGACAAACTTCCTGGACTTCCCACCAAACCTGGCACTGTCAAGGAGCTGGAACAGACACAGCTCCTAGTGAAGCAATAAGAAAGCCTACAAAGAAAGAGAAAGGGATTTAAAACAATCACCTTTAGAATTCATGGCTTTGAGAACAACGTGGAGGGAGATTCCTAACAGGCAGACAGCAAAGCCCAGCCAGTTCAAGAGACTGAGGCGGTCTCCCAGTAAATGTGTGGCCAGGAATAAAATGCAAATTTCCTGTGGAAACAAAAAAACATGACAAGTGGCAGGACAGGACCTGAGGAGATATGCATGATACATTTTTCAGCTGAAGCCTAGATCAAGATGTCAGGCTGCTAAATTCCTATCAGCACATTCTTTCATGCGCACAGAGTTCTAAAAACAGTTTCTAGAAACAAACAACCTGTCAAACCAGGATGTGGGATTTTAAGTCATCTGACTGCATAGCTCAGTTACAGAGGAATCTTGCAACTTCTGGATCAGAGAGATTTCATATATCACAGTTCAGCTCAGAAGTATGTGTGCTGGACTCCTCTGGGGAGGGGAGGATGTGCCAAACTAGGTTACAGAGACAGCTCAAACCAGTGGTTTGGTCATATGCAGGTCTGATGCAAGACCTTGCCCTTCTTACCCCTCCCCTCTTCCACACCATCTGCTGCTCATGAGGGCAGTGGGTTTTAGTCTATCCCACATGCCAACAAACTTTGATCATTAATGTTATTTTTTATAAAACAGGCACTGGTCTCTGGCTCTTTGCTGTCAGGGACCCAGAGACTTCACTACAGAGACTGCAAGGCAAAGCATCAAGCTCCTGTGCAAGGAGAACAAAAACAACAAGCAATAACTTCTAAGGATCTAAGCAAGCTCCCACCACATAAAGCCCAATAGGGATGACTCAGTGCTTGCCTTCTAGCATTAGCACAGGAACCATGCCTTACCTTAAAAATGCCAGCAATGGAAAGGGTGAGGCTAGATGTTCTGGAAACCAAGAGGAACTCAGAAAAGCCTAGACCAAAGGCAAGAATTCCACCCAAGAACAGCTTCCCTACCAGAGAGAACAGCATTCCTGCTTCATGGAAACGGAAGAGCTTCTCTGATATGGACAAAGGAAGGCCTAGGAACAAGACAATGAGTAGCAGAATACCATTCCCAGCACCAAGGATTCCTCTTAGTAAGATAGATGGGGTGGGCTGCTCACATTCCAGTATGAGGAAGATGTGGAGGCAGTTCTTCACAGCCCTTACTTCCACAAGCATGGCAGGCTACTACTTCTATGCACTCTTTAACCTTCTGCCAGCATAAGATAAATCCAGGTCTCTAACTACTTTGCAGAGTTGATAGTTGTTCAGTTATCTAAGTGAATTATCTCGAATAACAAATTGCTAAGCAATCTCCCAACCACTCTATAAAGCTATCCCTGCTTTCTCTAATTAACTCACGCACCCTCAAACACCGCAAAGAGTGGGAAGAGCCCCAGGAACATGAGCGGCTGCAGGTGAAACATGATATCAATGGGATTCTGGAGTCCTGAAAGAGGAGAATCAATAACAGAGCAGGCAGCAACAAGCCAGGGAGTAACACAGGTCCCAGAGCCTTTATTAGCACCATTCCTAGACACACACCTGTATTTACGATGCCCACACCTGTGCTGCTGCAGACACCCAGCCACCCTCATTACCCACCAACAGATACCCCATGCCCAAGGTTTCCAACACCTTCCATGAGATGTTTCGTTTCTGCAGCAAGGGCTACCACCTCTCCTTATTCCCCTCCCTGTTACCAGCACCACCACCCCCTCCTGGCACCCCACATACCCAGTTCAGCCTTCTGCATCAGTATCTGAGTGAGAGTCCAGCGAATGCCCCCCAGGAAAGAGGCACAGAGCACCAGCACAAACCCCTGTGCGTTGAACTGTGTGGACTTGTAGGTGAACATGAAGAGTCCCCCAGCAATGAGCAGAACCACCAGCAGCAACGTCACCCTCTGCAGGAGAGCAAACACAACAGAGACAGGCACCTCCTTCCTTTCAGATTCACCCACATAACTGCAGCATGCCTCTGCTTACATGTTTCTTGCACATGCACTGCCTATTTCCCCGGGTCTCACCTCCCTCCCTAAAGCATTGTGTGGGACTCTTACCATTTCCTCCAGCTTGAAGAGCAGTGAAAAAAGCAGGATAAAGAGAATGGCAGAAGATTTTGTCATCGTGTAGCTGTAAGGACCAAAATACACTGTCAGACTCCTTCAATGTATTTTTTCCCATCAAATCACTATTAGAAACCATCACCCATTTCTACACTACTACCAGCAAGCTGTCACAGACCCTGCATGCTGACCCACTAACCAAACACCTGTTCAAGAAACAGACCCTGGCAAAGCACTCTCCAAACCCCACCAGAGGCTCCCAGGGAACGTGGTGTTTGTACTCACAGGGAGACAGTGACATACAGGAAGCTCCAGTTACTCAGCCCAATATCCAAGGAAGTTGACAGAGCTAAAGAATCAATGAAAAGGACCTGAAGTTAACTGTCTTCCATGACATTAAACAAACCCACCACAAAACCCTGCTTCATGGCCACAGATAGCAGAGCAGACCCAGGGGAAAAAATAAGCTTTCCTCATGTTAGTTCTTCAGACCCAACATAACTCAGATATTCTCAGCTCTTCATGTTTCTGTCCTGCTCCCTGTGACTCAAGTTGGGCTCAGCATTGCACTCAACATGCATTACAAAAAAGCCAGAAATAACTCTTGCCCTCCCTGTGACTGCAAGTGATTGCAAATTTGCATAAAGTCTTTCTTGATTGTATCAGAGCATGGTAACTTGTAAGTCTGAGGGTCATTGCAAGAAGCCTGAAAAAGCAACAATTATCTGCACACAGCAACAATTATCCGCACACAGCCTTAACCCTGCAGCTTTTGGTACAGCCTATTCTCTCTTCTATGGAAGTTTCCTACCACAGGAAACAGTGTTACTGATCCAAGGGCAGGCCATGCTGAAAGGTAAAATTGCTGCAGATGTGGAGAAAGCTTTTTTCAAGAAACCATGTGGCATGTTATATAAAGTACTGCAAACCTTGCCAGAGATCACAGACCAGATGTTGTTCTGTGGGAGCCAATACAACACACAGCCAAGGAACTGCAGAAGTAGTTACAGTTCTGTGCTCCAAGTAGGAGCTTCACTCCTTGGTCTCAGATAGTTCTGTGTGCCATGAATGATGAATTCTCTACCAAGCTCCACCCTGAGAAAGATGCAAGGCATGGCTTGATACCAGCGTTAAAGACAAAATGTTACTTGCAGACACAAATTATCAAGGCACTGTAGAAGGTTCTCTGTGCCAGTGACTCCTTCAGAAAGATCCATTCTGTGTGGCCTCTTCCTATTCTTATACATCTAACGAGCCATGAAGGTGGCATGTCTCAGGCTGAAGCTTTAGGTAGCACCTACACCTGCCCTACACCTGGTAGGGAAACATGGGGGCCAGAGCAATGGCTGGATCCCCCAGCTCACCCTGTCCCAGGGGATTGGCCCCGACCACCCCAGGCAGACAAAGGGCTCTGGAAGCAGCCAGAGTGCCACAGGCACCCCTGAGCAGCCTCCTATATGCTGAATATGCTGAGTTGGAAGGGACCCACCAGGATCATTGAGTCCAACTCCTGGCCCTGCACAGGACACCCAAGAATCCCACCCTGTGCCTGAGAGTGTTGTCCAAATACTTTTAGGCCAAGTCAGTCTTGGTGCCATGATCACCCCCCTGGGGAGCCTGTTGTACTCCTCAACCACTTTCTGAGTGAAAACCTTCTCCTAATATCCAACCTAAACCTCCTCTGATTCAGCTTCATGTTTTCTTGGATCCTGTCACTGGTCACGAGAGTGAAGAGATCACTGCCTGCCCTTGTGCTTCCTCTCGTGAGGATGCTGAAGACCACAATAAGGTCTCCCCTAAGTCTCCACTTCTCCAGGCTGAACGCACCAAGTGACCTCAGCCGCTCCCATCACCATCCTCGTGGCTCTCCTCTGGATGCTCTCCAGCACCTTAACGTCTTTCCCGTATTGCTGTGCCCCAAACCTGCGGCCCGCTCCCGCTCCGCCGCCCCTCTCCCGTCCCCTCCGGTGCCCGGCCGTACCTGCGGGGGCTGCCCGGCGGAGGCAGTCGGCCCAGGACAGCGCTGCCCGCGGCCGCCCGGAGCGGCAGCGCTCCAGGGCGCGGGCGAGCGCCGCGAGAGCGAAGATGAGCAGCAGGTGCAGCAGCGTGACCAGCAGCGGGAACGGGAAGCTCTGCGGGACCGACAGCCGCTGTCACCGCCGACCGCCCTCCCGCCGCCGCCGCCCCGCACCGCCCCGCCACCCCGCACCTTCATCAGCCACTTGTTGTAGAAGGTGATGCCGATGGAGAAGCCGTAGTAGAGCAGCACCAGCGGCGCCGCCAGCGCCGCCCGCCCCAGGGCCGCGCCGCCCGGCCCCGCCGCCATGCGCCCGGCAGCGCGCCGGGAGAGCGAGGGGCAGGAGGCACCGGGGAGGGCACGGGGGATGCCGGGGACGGGGCCGCAGCAGGGCAGGGCGGGACGGGCGCGGGGCTGAGCGGGCCGTGGCGGCGGGGGAAGCGGGGCCGCCGCTGACGTTGGCCGGCGGGGCGGGGGAACGAGCGACGACGGCGGAGCGGGGCGGGCGCGCAGCGGTGACGCTCCGCGCAGGGCGGAAAGAGGCGGAGGCGGCGGCGGCGAGGAGCGCTACTGGTTATTATTGGAACCGATACAAAAGGCGGGCGGCGCCGGGGCCCCGGCCCGAGCCCGCGGCACGGCAGCAAGCGGCGGCCCCGGCGCGGGGCCCTCAGCCGTAGTGGTACACGAAGTCGTAGCTGCTCGGCTCCTTGGGGATCGGAGGCGGCGCTTCGGGGATCTGGATGTTCTCCAAGTCCAGGAGCCTCAGCTTCATTTCCATGCTCAGCAGCGTGTCCAGGTCGCTCTTGGTCAGCTCACTGGACATGTCCTTCCCCAAGAGAGCATTAAGCCCATCAATCCAGATACAGTACTGTGGAAAAGAAGGGGTCGTTCACGACTCCAGGCTTAAATGATACCTTACGTCAAATCTTTCTGTCCATGCAAAAATTAGAGAACTTTAAGACAAGAAACACTGGAGTGAGTTAGTATGTAGGGAAAAAAATCCCACTCCCAGCTCTAAAACAGTGCCCACAGAGATTTCCAATGGAAGTTAAAAGCCTAGTGGAAAGTGTGAGCCCGTGGTTGTACTAGAAGGACAAGTGTCTACAGTGGCACAACAAATGAAAAAAGTGAACCTATTCTAGGCATCATAGGAGGAAAAAAAGTAGCAGTCCAGACTAGGGGAAATTAGTGTGGGATTTTTTTTTTCTTTTTAAATGAAAAAGATAATTAAGGGGGAAAAAAAGATGGTTCATATAAAGCATCAGCAACATATTCTAGGAATGAACCTGGTGAGAGACAGCCTGCTCGAGTCTCTAATGAGAAGCAACCCATCCTTCCTAATCTCTGAAGTTAATTGATATATATTCTACTGCTTAACCACTACGTTTCTTACCTCATATTTATTAGGTGCAATGAAGTTCAAGGTCTCATCGGGATCATATAATATGGAGAAGGCCAATTCTAACACTTCCTAAATGGAAAAGAATCTTTCACTCACCAGCTGAACAGAACATTGCAGCACCTTCTGTCTGCCACCCTGAGAGAGCTGCCTTGCTGCAGCTCAGTACACTTTGTGTGAGCAGTTCTGAAGAGACTACTGCACAATCATGCTTACAGCTCCTTGCAGTCACAAAGGAACACTAGGAAAGGGCTCAGACAGGAGATGGGGTTTGTACACAGCACACCTGCAGTGGGGGAGATCATCCACTCCACTTGCTCACCTTCAATCTCAAACACTACAGCATTAGTTATTAATGACAATGAAAAGGGAGCACTTGCCTTATTCTGTTTCAGTGCACTTTTCTCCTTCATGTGTGGACAGTCCTTCCCTGTGACAATGGCTTTGATGTCTGCAACTGGAACTAACAGTGAAAAAGTAAAACTCCCAAACAAGCAATCCTAACCAGGAAAATACAGAACTTTGTTTTGTCTTTGCAACTGAACACTGGTTTTTTAGCTCGTTAGTGCAGTTTTCCAAAACACATTACCAGTAAGACATCCCTGCAGCTGGCTTTTAAAAAAGAACTATCAAGTAATTCAAAGATTTGAAGAATTTGGGCAAGGACCAAAAGTTGATATCTCCTTAGTCAGGGCTTCAGCCTTGTGTCTTTCATCTTTATCTAGGATTATATTCAGCCTCTAGACAGCAGAGCACAGAAAAGTGCAAAGCTGTAATCAGGACTTACTTTTTTCTTGTAAAGATTCAAAGGTCACTTCCCCCTGGGCATTATCTTCCAGGTCTCCATAGTGTAGCACCTTGTGATTCAGAGCCAGGCGACAATACCAGAATCTTTCTGGAACACACACCAAGTAGGGTACGCTGAACAAGATCATTCACATAAGGTCTCACAGGCACTGTTACAGCCTCTCCACACAATCCATCTGCTTGCCCAGTTCCTCAGCACAGCTTCTTATTCATGAGGGGATGGCTGTATTCTTAGAAATGCACATTTGTGCCATCCCAAACTACTGGCTGATATGGACAGCCAAGTAACCAGCTTTTCTTTCTGGCAACATGCCTGCTGACAGATTAATTAATTAGATCTTTTTTGCTATAGTTCTTCACATGAAAAAATACAGCAGACACTGTCCCCTTACCTTGTCTTCTGCGATTTCCAATTTTCCTAAAGCTACTTCCCTCACAAAGCCTGTTCAGGCGCTGCTGCTTTATCAGCTCCAAGATCTCAGGTTGGATTTTCTCTCTCAGCTCCCTGGCAATCAAATATGGAAGAATAAGCAGAAAATGGAGATAATGGCAGGGATAGAAGGCAAATATTTTTGTCAGGCACGTACACAATAGGTGGAGACTGGAAGTCATCTTGGCTCATCCTCTCAGACTGGCGTAGCCGCAGAATCTCAGAATAGCTCAGGCTGCGAAGTTTGCTCTTGAACTGGTCCAAGGAGTTTGGTTTAGAGGGCAGAGCCCTTGTGATCTGTTCCCTAACAACCTGCATAACCTAAAGAGGTGGGACAGAAAGAAAAGTCACATTCTTGTTGGCAGCAGAGTATTAGGGCACAGTTCAGCGGCAGCAAAGAACTGACATGGGATAGCAGGGCCAGGAGAATCAGGACACTAGTGACTTTGAAGATCCAGAAGAATCAAGAAGGACCTCAGTGCATTCCAAATAAAAGTTGAGTCATCCTTTACAGCCCATACTAATGCCCTGTCACATCTGTGCTCTACTCCTAAACCAAATGTACAGGCTTAGTGAACATGTGCTGATCTGCCAAACATTTTACAAAAATATCTCTTCTCCAACCTGACCTTATTAAAATCTTCTGCTGTCGCCCTCATTTCTTTCCAGGTCTTGTTCAACAGCTGGATACAGATGGCAAACAGTTCCTCAAATGCACGGTCATGGGTGAAAAACATGGGGTGATAGTCATTCCGGCCTTCATTGGCTTCAGAAAGAAACAAACCACAGCCACGTGAGCATACTGGACAAAAGGTACTAGGAGTAACTAAAGTCCACCACAGTGACAGACAACTGGTGGTGTGCAACAGTACTTACTCCAAGAGATTAAGACCATTCAATACTGTGCCACCCCACAGATAGTTTATTGACAATGGAAATTCTCCCCACACTTCACCATGCAAACCTCTGTGACTCCTGCCCTTTTCATCCTGGTCCCCCAAAATAACTGCTTGCAGTGTTTCCCACCTTCCTCTGGTGGAATTTCTTATGGTGGTTAATTTTCTCAAAATGCTGTTTTGAAGATGTCAGAGCAAACAAACTTTTCCCAAGTTCATGGTGGTTTCAAGACTATTCTTTTTAATACACAACCCTCCTGAAGCTCTGGGAAGTTGAAGCTTTCTTCATGTATCAGTTTTTCAGGAGAACCAGAGTGCACACACCAAAATTTCTCACTTTATTTTGATAATGGTATTATCGCTCTGACATCAACTGTGCTTAATTCCAAGCTCACCCTGTCCTTACATGGCAGAAGTGAGATCAAGGTACAAACGCTTGTGAATATTAGTTTTTAGAAGCATCAGCCCAGCAGCCTGTAAAGCTGGGTAATAAATGGTACTTACGGAGTTCCCCAACTTGCAGGATCTCACAAAGCATCCTGGTGAGCTCAATGGCACTGCGCCCAAAGGGACACTCATGTTTATCCTCTCGGCTGCTGTTCTCCAGAACAATCTACAACAACAGGATGTCACACACACTAAGAAGAGCTGCTGAGGCGTTGGCATCTGTAAAAATCAGCAGCTTCACATACCCTGATATAGGTGTCCTGATGAAATTTGGCCAAATAAAGCATGTTGTCCAATGCCAGCATCCCAGGAGGAGTCTGTGTAAAATCCATGGCTGGATTGATGTGATTCTGTGAAAAGGGTAGAAAGAATCGAAATGAATTAGCTCAAAGGAATTGTGTGAGAACCTTTTCTGAATTAATTTCAAACCACCTGTCCATCAAGCACACCCATACACCTATCCGAGAGGTAACCCTGAACACCTCCTGACAATGCTAGCTGAACTTTCTAGAGGAGAGGCTGGTTTTAAGTTCTTCATAGCACAGGTGCACACGGTAAGGAAATACCTCCAGAGAATGCCTAATGAACCCTTGCATTTCACCCCTCAGCAAGTTCATAACAATCTTCCCCGGGAGTGTGAGTGAAACTGGATCTCTAAACTCAGATACTGAAGTAAGGTAAAGGAAACAGCTGTTCCTGTTCCTTATTTCCCCACAACTCCTATGGAGATTGTTCAGACTGCCCTGACAAGGTTTACAGTCTAGATGCATACAGTGAATCCCAGCATCTTGTAGTCCTTGGTGTACATGGCTTTGCGTTTCTCTGTTCCGCTGCCAGGGACGGTGTTGCTGTCAGATTCTGCATCAAATGCAATTCTTCTCAACTCAAATATGATGTCTCTCTGTGCCTGAAGGACAGAAGGCAGGGAAATGGTGATGTAATCAATCACTACAGCAGTATTTTCACATATTTCACACTCCTGCGTCTCTCCTCAGAGCTCACACAATGAACACAGGGAGATGCCAAGGGTCATTAACACTATGCACAAAGAGGCAATCCATTTCAAAATGGCAAGTTTCAATACAGTGGGTAATGCAAAATATTTGTTTGCACTTTTCTTTAACTGCAAGTTTAGTTACAGGCAATTTCTAGGCATTCAGGTAATGCTATGGCATTTCTCCTTAAAAACTGTAATACAGCTGAGTAACAAGACACCTGAAAAATGCCCATTTTTCCTCCTATACTGCAAGCAAATAGATAAAATGATGTGCCTGTCATAGAGGTTAAGTAACCAGTTTTACAGCTGGCATCACACTGGTCAAGAAAGAAGTATATGACTTTCAGAGCCCACTTA